AAAAAGAATTAATATTATTTTCGAAATCTGCATAGCTAAATTATGGAAAATTCGTTATTAAATTCAAAACAACATTTGTTCAGTTTACATTCGCAGACCTGTGTTATCAAGAAGAAGGAAGTAGCATTTACAAAATCAAAAGAAGGTACAGAATAAAGGGACAGATATTTGAAAGAAAACCAAGAAAAAAGAGAAGAAAATTGAAAGAATTAGGCAAGGAGTTAAGAGAGAAATTATAGAAATGAGATGTAAGAGTTACAGAATTCAGAACAAAAATCAATTTGGTTGAGCAAGCCATTGGATGTGTACAAAGAGATATCAGGAGAAAATAAAATTCATCAAGACATCAGCGAAATAAAGAGGAAAGTACAAAGTACGTCAATGAAGTAAAAAGAGAAGTACAGTACTATATAAAAGAAGTATAAAATAACTTTTGTGAAGAACAGAAGGATTACTATGAGTCAGCGAGAAGTTTAGAACTTACAACGATAAAATCTGGGGCTGGTTTCCCTGTGGTGGACAGATGGCTCATGGTGTAACTTTACCCTAGAAACAAACATTCATCGCCATATATACATTTCAACTGGTTATATAACACTTGAACGCAAAAAAAAAATATTGAACAAATCAATAAACGAGTTGTTAGCGGTCATTTTTAGCGCAAAGCTAAAAAATAGGATAAGTACATTCTATCTACAGGGAGGAATTAAACTCCGGATTTTAGAGTTGTAATTCTGAAAACTTACCGCTGACTCACTGAAGAGACCAGTCAACTATCACGAGAAAAGACTAGAAAGGTGTATCAATATATTTTGTTCATTTTATTTTGTCATTTCTTGTTTTAATGTAATTTATTTTTTGTAATGGGCGTGGGACAGTGGTTAGCATATCCATAGAGTTGATTCGTGGGTTTATGGTTCGCGTTCCGTTGCCACAAAAACGCGCGCTGCATCTGTGGTGCCTTCAGGAGGTATATGAAAGATATTTGTCCTTTCCTCCTACGATAACCACTAAACCCACTTTCCAAAACTGTAAAACTTTGATTATAAATGTGTTGTCAAGGGAGTACTTACTTGGGGAGCATGTATCTATTTAATTTTTTTACTTATATTTTATCTTATATATATACGCTGAAGATAACGAGGTGTAAACTTCGAAACTTATTTTTATACTTATTTGTTTAGCGCAAAGCTCCACGATAGGCACTCTGCGCTCTGTTCGCCGCAAGGACTCGAAACTTAAATTTCAGAATTGTAAGGCTTGAAACTTCACTGTTGACCCACCAGCAGACCATGTGATTTGAAACATATAGAATGGTTTTAAAAGTAATTATTATTTTCTAAAGAATAACAAACACATAAGTGCGCTATAAGCTATAAGTAGTGAAATCCCACTATTTGGTCAGTGTGAAGTAGACCAAGAGTTGCGTTTGCGATGTGTACTGTCGACTAGCTACTTTTCTTCTAGTTCAAAAGTACGGACGGATATCGTCTTGTGTAGCTTTGCGATAAGATTCTAAAAACAAACAAACAAGCTTCTTTCACGCACACTAACAGTAGAAGAGCGAATAAATACCTACAGTCAAGTTTCTTAAGTTACCAAAAATGGCACCAGAAAAAAGTTGAAGGGCGAATAAACACCTACAGTCAAGTTTCTTAAGTTACCAAAAATGGCACCAGAAAAAAGTTGAAGGGCGAATAAATACCTACAGTCAAGTTTCTTAAGTTACCAAAAATGGCACCAGAAAAAAGTTGAAGGGCGAATAAATACCTACAGTCAAGTTTCTTAAGTTACCAAAAATGGCACCAGAAAAAAGTTGAACTTGGCAAAGTTACACTTTTAGTTCATTTATTTAACCTCACTAAAATTACACATACGTATTTTTCGGAATATAAGACGCACCCTTATTTTGAAGACAAAGTTTTGGGGGAAAATAGCTACAGTCGCATTTGAAAGATTTTTATTGAACAAAAATTCAATTTCATAATTTAAAAATTAGTATATATTGTTCTAAACACAAAAGAGCTCAAAACATCAAAATAAGAAAATACCGTAAATCCAAAAAAAAAGTTTACTGTTATTTAGTTTGATTCAAAACCTAGAAAATCTTCATTGCTTTCACTGCAATTTATTTTTTTATTATTTAGGGAGCATTATAAATAGTTATGTTTTTAAAATAAAAAACTACTATTGTTATAAATAACACACTTAATTGAACTAAATTATGCATGCCGATTTAAATATATTTACACATGGCTTGTGTATATCATATATATATACATATATATTATTC